CCAGGAACAAGATTAAATACTACAGAATTGGGTAGTAAACAGAACAGGTAATCCCTCCCCTGTGACCTGTGGTTAGAGAGGTGCAGGAAGTTAAACAGCCTTGCACCTTGGGACTGTACAGCCCAGAGCTGTCCTCATGCTGCCAGCAGTGGAAGCAGAAAGGTCCACCACATGTCCCCATCTCACCTGAGGAAGTTACAGACTACAGCAGAGATGGGTGATGCTGGCAATGGAACTTGTAAAGCAATGAATGGGAAGTTAGTAACCCACCTCAGGAGGGGAGTAAGAATTGGGACTGAGCAGCCTTGGACTGCAAGAGCAGAGGACCAGGCCATATCACAGCATCCCACCCCACACTGCAACAACCTGAGAGGACAGAGACTTGCCAGTGGAAGAGGAACACAGAAGGCTGAGCAAGGAACAGGAGGAGCTAACGGTGTATGGGACTGGGAACAGCCCCCATCTCTGTCTGAAAATAGCATAGCAACTGGGAGAGAGATGCTACCAAGAGAAACAGGGTAAGGAGTAGGAAGCCACTGAGGGACATACACAAAGTACTGGCCGAAGACTCTGGCCCCAGACCCCCACATCTGGAGGCCAAGATCAGCCTCAAATTTAGCACAAACTCTACTGCACAACTTGGCAATGTTATCCATAGTTTCAGACTCTAGGTGGACACCAGAGGAATTTTGTTTTTTTAATTGTATTTTAATTTTTTTCTTTTTTTGCTGGTTTGTTTCCTATTCCTTTTTCTTTTTTTCTTTTTGTCTTTTACCTATATCGTTGTTCTAATCTGTTCATCTTCTTTGCCCCTTTCTTCAATTTACCTCTCTAGACTTAGTCATATTTTCATGAATGGTGTCTCTAATTTTTCTGGTCAACTTCAATAATCCCTTGCTCTCTCCTTCATTCTTTTTCTTCTGCCCCCTTTAGTTTCCCAAAGCTTTCATGATCATCCCTCATCCTCCACCTGGCTTCTACTTTATTTCTTTTCAATTGCCCATTCTATCCACTATCCTTCTTAAATTTCCTCACTACAGGGTAAAACCACTCTACCAAAGGGAAACACTTTGTATACAAACTCCCAATTTATGATTGGTTCTGTCATATAACTAGATTTTGTTCCTATGGTTTAAGGTACAAAATTAATCATTACTACAGTTGTCAGTCTCTAAGCTGCTTGATACTATTTTTAGTGCTAATTATACTACTTCAGTTAGGAGGTCATATCTTTTTTAATCAGTTGTTTTCATTTCTGTCATAGTACTGGAAAGTTATGTGGTAATAACCTCACCACAACCCATCACCAAAGGACTGGGGACTCAGCCAAACAGGTACAAACATCTGACTGAAAATTAATTAATTAGGATATTGGGACAGACACAAACTAGGAACCTTCTGCCTGCAGAAGGCATCCCTGAAGAACAAACCTTGCCTAGAGAGGCCTTGATACTAGTGATAAAGCCACTTACTTCAAAAATTTACAAGGGTCAACACAGAAAACAAAAACATATGAAATAGAAAATGACAACATGCAGAAGCAAAATGAAACATCAGACCTCCAGCCCACCCAGAATAAGTCCAAGAGACAATGAGAAAGGAAAATGGTAGGCACATACCTGACATCTCTGAAATGATAGCAACTGAAGTAGAGAAATCCACGAGGCTATAGAGGAAATCAGTTCACAAATAATCTCTCAGGTAAAAAACAAATGTCAACATTCATAAAGGAATTGCTTAGCAAATCTAGAATAGAGATAGATTTTTTTAAAAAGATGATCAGAAGAGGATGGAAACTGTGAATGATCAATATAGGAAGCAAATAGAATGCATGAAATGGATTCAAATAGATATCCAGGAAGTTAAAAATTCCATTGAAAACTGGCAAAACCACTTGTATGAAACTGAAGATAGACTCTCAGATCTTGAGGACAGGATCTTGGCTAGTGATCATGACAGGAACAATCTCTTGGAAAAACAAAAGATCAGGAAATAATTCAACAGCTGCAAGACAAGGTATAGAAAAATACTACAAGAATAAGTGGTGTCACTGGAAAAGCAGCAATCAACACAAATGACATAAAAGCTATTTGCAGAAGTAATAGAAAATTTCTCAAGCATGGGGAAAAAAAATCCAACATACACATAAGTGAGGTGTATACAACTCCCATTAGCCATAGCCAAAATAAATCTACACCTAGACCTATAATAATCAAGATCCTACAAATTCAGCACAAGAAGAGAATATTAAAAGCTATCAGAGTGAAGAAACAGATCACCTATAAAGGAAAGCCCATGAGAATCATGGCAGACTTCTCAACACAAACCCTCATATCAAGAAAAGCTTGTAGTAAAGTATTTCACATCATGAAAGAAAACAAATTCCAACCCAGATTGACGTACCTTGCAAAATTATCTTTCAAAATTAATGGAGAAATGAGATACTTGCACAACAAAAAACCACTGAAGAAATTCATGACCACCAAACCAACACTTCAAAGGATAGTGAAAGATATTCTAGATAGAGATAAAAATGACCACAATTCCAAGAACAACAACACAAGGAATTCACCAAGCAGGGCAAGCAGTTAAACAAAGGGGAAAAATAGGGAACCAACAGCAGGAAAATAACATGACAAAGATAAGCCAATACGTATCAGTTATAATGATCAACATAAATGGTCTCAATTCACCCATCAAAGCAAACAGACTGACAGAACAATTTGCTGTATACAAGAAACACATTTCACTGAAAAAGAAATTCATAGAATAAAGGTCAAAAGATGAAAAGCAATACTCCATGCAACAGGAACCCAGAAAAAAGCAAGGGTAGCTATTCTGTTTGCAGACAATGTGAACTTCAAACCAAGAATAATCAAAAGGGATAAACAAAGTCACTACATACTTGTTAGGAGAAAACTTCTGGAGGAGATAATCATAAATATACATGCAGTAAATATGGGAGCACCCGACTATATAAGACAGATAATAATCATGAAAAATGAAATTAGCAGTAATACAATTGTAATGGAGGACTTTAATACCCCACTGTCACAAATAGATAGATCAACCAGACAAAAAATCGGTGAAGAAATATCAGAGCTGAACCAAACCTGTGAACAAGTGGACTTAGTATATGTTTACAGAGGGTTCCACCCAACATTAGACTACACATTCTTCTCAGTTACACATGGGACATTCTCTAAATTAGACCATATACTAGCCCATAGAACATGCTTAAGTAAATGCAAAAGAATTAAAATTATCCCATGTATATTATCTGACCATAGTGCAATGAAATTGGAAAGGAATGGTAGAAGAAACTTCAAAAACTCCATAAACACATGGAAATTACATAACACCCTCCTAAACAACCAGTGGGTCACAGATGAAATTAAAGGAAAAATTAAACAATATCTACAATTAAATGAAAATGCAGATACAACATATCAGAATCTGTGGGACACAATGAAAGCAGTCCTAAGAGGGAACTTTATAGTGATGAATTCTCACATCAGGAAAAGAAAATGAGCATAAATAAACAACCTAACATTGCACTTCAAGCTTCTATGAAAAAAAAAAGAGCAAGCTAAGCCAAAAGCATGTACAAGGGAGGAAATTATAAGATCAGAGCAGATATGAACACACTGGAGACTAAGAAAACAGTGTAAAGAATAAATGAATCTAAGAGTTGATTCTTTGAAAGAATAAGTAAAACTGATAAACCCTTAACCAATCTTATCCAAAGAAGGGGAAAAAAGACTCAAATTTATGCAGTGAGGAATGAGAAGGGTGAAATCACCACAGGTCCAGTGGAATTTCAAAGATCATCAATACTTTAAAAATCTTTACTCTCATAGGGTGAAAAACACGGAAGAAATGGACAGATTCCTAGAAACATATTATGAAAGCCAAGTCAAGAATATATATAAATTCTGAATAATCTAGTGTCAGTTAATGAAATTGAAAACAATTAAAAACTTATCAACAAAGAGAAGCTCAGATCCTGATGGATTTACAGCTGCATTCTACAAAAAAAAACTAAAGTAAATTTAAGGCTAGTACTGCTCAAAGTCTTTAATAAAACTGAGAGGGAAGCAGTGCTCCCTAATTCATTCATTTCTGGAGGCAAATACTACCCTGATACCAAAACCAGAGAAACACCCACCCAAGAAAGAGAACTACAGGCCAATCTCCCTAGTCAACATAGATGCAAAAATCCTCAGTAAGATACTGGCAAACAGAGTGCAGCAAATCATGAAGAAGATTGTACACCATGACCAAACAGGATTCATTCCAGGGATGCAGGGGTAGTTCAACATTTGCAAATCAATAAATGTAATACACCATATCAACAGAGCCAAACACAAAAATCACATGATCATCTCAGTAGATGCAAAGAAAGCTGTTGACCAATTCCCACACTCATGCATGATAAAAAACCCTATAGAGAATTAGAATAGATGGTCTTTATCTCAATCTGATAAGAGCCATCTATGACAAATTAATAGCCAACATCATAAAAAATGGCCAAAACCTAAAGGTTTCACTCTAAAATCAGGAACAAGACATGGCTGTCCACTGTCAACATTCCTATTCAATATAGTTGGGGAAACACTAGCCAGAGCAATTAGAGAGAAATAAAAGGAATAAGGTAGGAAAGGAAGAAGTTAAATTATTATTATTTGCAGATGACATAATACTGTACATAGAAGACCCCCAAAACACTGAAAGACTTCTAGATTTAATAAACAAATTCAGTAGCATAGCTGGGTGCAAAGTCAACATTCAAAAATCAATAGCATTCTTATACATGAACAATAAACTCACTGAGAGAATTTGGAGAAACCACATCCTTCACAATAGCACCCCAAAAAAATGAAATACTTAGGAATCAATCTAAAAAAGAAACTAAAATACCTCTACATTGAAAACTACAGTACTCTGAAAAAGCAGGTCAAAAAGGATATCAGAAAATGGAAAGATATCCCTTGCTTGTGGATAGCAAGAACCAACAGTGAAAAAGGTCATATTTCCAATATGGTTATACAGATTAATACAATACTAATCAAAACACTATTAGCATATCTTGCAGAATTATAGAAAACATTCCACAAGTTAATTTGGAAACAGAAAAGACATAGAATAGCAAAAGCAATCCTGAGTAACAATGGCAATGCAAGAGGCATCACAATCCCTGCCTTGAAATTACACTGCAAAGCTACTGTGATAAAGTCAGCATGGTACTGGCAAAAAAAAAAAAAGCAGACCTGAGAACCAGTGGAATAAATTATGAAATGCAGACATCACTACAAACACATTCAGCCACTTTTGACAAAGGAGCCAAACATGTTCACTGGAAGAAAGATAGCCTCTTCAATGAATGGTGCTGAAAAAACTGTCTCTCTTCATGCCAAAAACTTTAGTCTATCACTTAAAGTCTATCACTTTAGTCTATCAACACATGTCTATCACCATGTGCTAAACTAACATCAAAATGGATCAAAGATCTAAATATTAAAACAGAAACACTAACTCTACTGGAAGAGAAAGTAGATAGATATCTGGAAGACATAGGTTTAGGTAGAGAGTTCATGAGCAAAACCCAGACTGCATGACAAATACTTCAAAGAATCCACAACTGCTATCTCATCTTATTAAAAAGCTTTTGCACAGCAAATGAAGTCAACAAAGTGAAACAACAGCTCACATAATGGGAAAAGGTTTTAGCCAATTGACCCTCAGACAGGACTTCTATCTAGAACATATAAAAAAATTGAAAAATAAGACCCCCAAAATTCAAAGATCCAATCAAAAACTGGGCATCTAAGAGGAATACACACTTCTCAGATGAAGAAATACAAATGGCAGATAAATATATGAAAAAATGTTCAACATCATTGGTCATTTGAGATTCAAATTAAAACAACACTGAGATTCCATGTCACCCAAAAAAGAATGGGTATCATCAAGAAATCAACCAATAACAAATGCTGGAGGGGCTGTCGGGGAAAAGGAACCCTTCTGCACTGTGGTGGGAATACAACCAATGTGGAAATCAGTGTTGTGATTCCTCAAAAAACTAGGATTGGAGGTCCCATTTGACCCAGTTATTCCCCTTCTGGGTATCTTGTCAGAAGAATTAAAAACATCATAACAATATACATGCACCCATGTTTATAGCAGCACAATTTGTAATAGCTCAGTTGTAGAAACAACCTAAATGCCCGTCAACCAAGGAATGGAAAAAAGATGTCTTTTTATACAATGGGGTACTACCCATTGTAGTATAAATTGGAGAATTTATAAGTAAATGGATGCAACTTGAGACCATACTCATACGTGTAATAAATCAGATTCATGTTTAAACATCATATTGTCTCCCTGGTGTAAGAAACTGAAAGAGTAAATAAGTTCTAAAATGTACAATAGATATTGTGAAATGGGAAGGAATTGTTCCAGAGGAAAAAGGAACTAGGCTGAGTGAAAGGAGAAAGGACAGTAGACAAAAGGGACAAAATGCAAGTTAGTTATACTATTAGTGTCTTTCACTTTATTAAAAACAAAGATTTGTAGTAATATTGATTGGAGAAATTTTTATCTCATATCTTGTACCCTGAGCAATGACTTTAAAGGTAACACCATGTAATCTATTAACTGTTATTCTATTATTTTGTTATGAAATTTTGTTTTATCTTTTTTCCCTAAAATTAAAAAAAGAGCTCCCGGGACATTAATCAAAGGATAAAAACCGTGCAACTCAGAGTTCCTTTAGGACACTTTAAAAGAAATTGAATGATGTGAAATCAACTGACAGAATTCATATACAAGCTGAGAAGTCTTCTGTGAGGTCAGGGTGACATAGGATGTATGATATGGGAACCTCCAAATAACATAAGAGAAATATTGTAACTGCCCACCTGATAAATGTCTGAAATGCCAATTTCATGTTCTCTAAAATCAAGGCATCGGGGCTGGGGATTTAGCTCAGTGGCAAAAAGCGCCTGCCTGGCAAGCGCAAGGTCGTGAGTTCGGTTCCCGGTACCGGAGAAAAACCAAAAAACAAAAAAAATAAATAAATAAATAAATAAATAAATAAAATCAAGGCACAAATTCTAGAAACAACAGAGATTAAGACTAGGAAGAATTTATTGGAAGAAAGCTTCTAAGAGGGACAGATGGGAACCCAGAAAGTGGGTTTCCCTGACTTTGCTATTTCTAAGAACATGTACCAACCTTCCCTCTTGCATTTTCCTTTGACAGTCTGCAGTGGATACTATGATGTTTATCTGTTAGCACAATGAGTTTGTCCTACATGGGTCTTATTTATTATTTAAGGTTGGTCTAAAAAAAACTGTTCAGGGCCAGGAATATAGCTCAGCAGCACAGTACCTGCCTGGCAAGCTGAAAGTTATGAGTTTGACTCCTAGTAACAAAACAACAATAATAAAAAAAATTGTGAAGCTTCCAAAAGTTGTCTCAGTGCAGTCACAGAAGATGAGTTCACTTCTCTGAGGAGCCAGTTGTGATGAAATTTTGAATAGCATTTGTCAAACCAGCTCGTTAGACATTGATCAGAGTGTATCTGGGAACTGATAAGGTAGTCTCCCTTTCAGAGGACTAATAGGCTTTAAATAAATGAAATATTCTTGTCGTGATGTTGAAACATCACCTCCTTTTAGTGATGCTGGTGTAGTTCACCCCAGTAGTAGCTCTAGATATCAGGGAACTTGAACATTTTTCTCAGACATTTCTAAGAATATGCTGTCTTAGGACAGTTGGTATTAACTCTCTTTGGAGTACTCAGTAGATGGAATTTGTTTTGGGGCATGGTACAGACCCCTTGTACGAAGGGAAATTGGTATGACCCGCATAGTTCAAATCTAGCATCAGAAAGGCTCTAGGAGAGTATGTGAGTATAGATAGAGAATAAGAATATGATGACCAAGACTGCAGTGACTTATTTGGAGAACATAGTATTATATGAAGTTCTTATGAAATGAATCTAGATCTACAATGTGCAATGACTATCACTCTTCATCATGGAAATACATGTGTGACTGTTTCAGGAGTCAGTGACTTTTAAGGATGTGGCTGTGAACTTCGCTGTGGAGGAGTGGGTTCTGCTGGATCCTTCCCAAAAGCAGCTCTACAGGGATGTAATGCAGGAAACCCTCAGGAACCTGGTTGCAATAGGTAAGGGAGACATCATTCCCTAATGAAGAAGACACCAAGTATTTGTTACTTAACAGTGTTGACGCCTTTATTTTAAAGAAAAAGAAACAAAAACAAAATTCAAAAACAATATGGTAAGAGGGTAACAATGGTTAATATATTGCATATTGTTATCTTAAATATGATTCCTTATTTGGAAAATGGAAATGGAACCATTTAGAGGATTATTTCAGGCACTATCACATAGCATAATCAATCTAGCTAGACTCCAGTAATATTTTCAGTAATATAATTCCTAATGATTTTTCTGTCTCTAAACTTTAGGAGAAAAATGTGAAGACTCAAATATTGAAGATGGGTATAAAAAAACCAGGAAAACTGTAAGGTAATTTACACTTAGAAAAATTATGTGTCAAGAATCCTGGTGTATCAGGAAAGTTTAAAAATAAGCAAATAATAGAAATACACCCAGTTTCAACTTGATTTAATCAAGTTGAACATTTAGTGAAACACTACATACCAGATGAACATTTATATATGGAAAATATGAAACGTTCCCGCCTCAGACACTTCTGAAACCCTAACATCTTGGTCTAGGTGAGTTTCTGATGGTTGAATATTAGTGATTTTGCTTCATATAACAGGAAATTATAAAAACAAGTGTTATAGTTACTTGTTGCTGAGACACAAGATCTAACACCCACAACTCAAAGGAGAAATATTTATTTTGGCTTAATGTTTGCAAAGATTGCAGGTTTCAGTGCATAGTTAGCTGGCTGCAAGACAGGGCAGCATGCCAGAGTGGCATGCAGTGGAAAAACAGGTCATGGCATGGAAGCAGAAAGCAGAGAGTGTGCACGGAGGAAGGCGGTAAATACATCCTTCAAAGCCACGCCTACTTCCTAGCACCAGGCTTCCCTTCCCACATCACATTTAGGTGTAAACTCATCATTGATGGCCTTCATGTCCCGTGATCCAATCACCTCCCAAAAGCCCCACCTATGAGCACACGAGGCTTTTTGGGAACATCTAGATATAAACTATATCTCTGCTATTGGACCTCAAAAGACTCATGGTCATACTTTTTTTTTTTTTTTTTTTTTTGTTTTTTTTGAGACAGGGTCTCCCTATGCAGTTCAGGCTGGCCTTGAGCTCACTTTGTAGCCCAGGCTGGTCTCAACCTCACAATGATCCTCCTGCCTCAGCCTCCCAAGTGCTGGGTTTATAGGCATGTGCCACTACACCCAGCTCATGGTCATACAGTTGTCCCTTGCTATATGGTGGTTCACTGATTGCAGCTTCACTGTATCTCAAGTTTTTTTAAAAAAAATCTAATTCTGTATTGCAGCATTTTGCTATATTGTGAGATTTTGTGGTATATAGGTATTTATATAATATTTATGATTTTATTTTTGCCTAAAAATTTTAAAACAATATAAAAATATAAAAAGTGTTAATTCAAACATATTAAAAATTTGAATTTATTTTAAGCCCTGTGATGCCACCCAAACGTTCTGCTCCTTCTAAGGCTGCTGACAGTGAACCCAAGCGCCACAGGAAGATGCTTACCATCAAAGAAAAGGTGGAACTTCTTGACATGTTAAAGGAAGGCAAAAGCTATGCAGCTGTAGGCCGCCATTATGGGATTAATGAATCTACTGTTCGCTACATAAAGAAAGATGAGAAGAATATTAGGTCTACGGCAACAATAACTTTTAACAAGACTGCAAAGAGGGTGGTCACTTCCCGCAATAAGGCCATTGTGAGGATGGAGTGTGCATTGGCCCTGTGGATAAATGACTGCAGGAAGAAGAGTATCTCACTGGATACCAACACTATCCGGATGAAGGCCAAGAAACTTTATGATAGTTTTGCTGAAAGCATGGACGTTCACAACAGTGACAAGGATGAAGACAAGGATGAGGACACAGAAGTAGGACCGTCGAGTACTTCTCCCACCAGACCAACCCCATTCAGTGCCAGCAAGGGCTGGTTTGACAAATTTCAGAGACGCTTTGGACTCAAGAGCATTTCTCTGCATGGAGAAGCTGCTCTTATGGATAAAACCAGAGCCAAGGAGTACGTGAATGACATGTTCAAATCCATCATCGAGGAAGGGGGCTATAAGCCTGAACAAGTTTTTAACATGGATGAGACGAGCTTATTTTGGAAATGGATGCCATCTTGCACTTTTATTATGAAGGACGAAGCCAAAGCCCTTGGTTTTAAAGCCGCAAAAGATAGAGTAACTCTGATTATGTGTGGGAATGCTGCAGGCTTTATGATAAAGCCAGGGCTTATTTATAAGTCAAAAAACCCAAGAGCCCTAAAAAACAAAAATAAGAATGTGTTGCCTGTGTACTGGATGTACAACCCCAAGGCCTGGACCACAAAACTCCTCACAGCTGATTGGTTCCACCAGTGCTTTATCCCAGAGGTTAAGCTTTATCTGGCAGAGAAAAACCTTGAATTCAAAGTGCTTCTGATCATGGACAATGATGAAGGCCATGCTGTTGATCTGTTGTATAATGGCGTCCAAATAGAGTTCTTGCCGCCGAACACCACATCACTCATTCAGCCCATGGATCAAGGCATTATTCGCACTTTTAAGGCACTCTACACGCAAAACACCCTGCAAAACCTGGTTGAAGCTATGGACTCAGATGAAAACTTCTCACTAAAGGCTTACTGGTATGACTACAATATTGCATCGTGTCTCCTAAATATTCAAAAGGCCATAAAAGAGATGAAGAGTGAAACAGTAAATGCCAGCTGGAAAAATTTGTGGCCAGAAGTGGTCCATGATTACAAGGGATTCTCTCCTGATGAAGTTCATCGCTCTGCAGTAGCTAAGACTGTGAAGCTGGCAAAACTACTGGGAGGAGATGGCTTCAGTGATGTGACTCCTGACAATGTGTATGACCTGATTGATGTCCACTCACAACCATTGACAGATGAAGACTTGACAGAGATGACAAAGTCAGCAAGTGAAGAAGAAGATGAGGAACAAGATGAACTACGGGTTGGAGAAGAGGAGGAGGTTGGCCTAACACTCGATCGTCTTGCAACCATGGTCAGAATGGCCAAAGAACTTCAGCAAGTGGCTGAAGAGTGGGACCCCCAGATGCTTCGTTCATTGCACTTCATAAATATAATTGAGAGTGGCATGTCAGTTTATAAAAACCTTCTCACTCAGAAGAAAAAACAGTGCGAGCAACTCCCCATAACTATGTTCATCACTCGGAAGAAAAGATCAGTTACAGCCCAGGGCAAAGACACTGCACCACCTGATGAAGTACCTGATGAAGTGGTACCTTCAGAAGACCTGTAATGCTCTTCTTGGCTTTACAGTACATTCATCTCATCATCATCACCTTCACTATCAGTACTGCACAGCTACATAATTCATGATCTTCATCATTAAAGTTGTAGTATACTTCACTGGTGAGTACCCATATAGAATTTTACATGTTGTTAAAATTACATAGGTTCAAGAGTGTAGAAAGTGTTTAAGAGCATATGAAATGTTTATAAGAGTGTGGGAAAGGTTAATAAGAGAGTGGGAAAGGTTTATAGGACTGTGGAAATGGTTTATAAAACCTTAAAATATATATAAATAATAAAATAAATGTAATGCCACTACTTTGTGGATTTTCACCTATTGCGAGGGTCTCTGGAATATAACTCCTGAGATGGGTAAGGGATCACTGTAAACACTGTGGGAAAGCCTTCCTTTGGGAAATTAATTTTCAAAGGCATAAAAAAGTTCATAGCAGAGAGAAATCATAGGAATGTAAGCAATGTGGGAAAACCTTTCTTTGGGAAAGTAGTTTTTCACAACATAAAGAAGTTCACAGTGGAGAGAAACCATATGAATGTAAGCAATGTGGGAAAGCTTTCCTATGGGAAAGGAGTTTTTGAAGACATAAAAAGGTGCACAGTGGAGAGGAACCATAAGAGTTAAATGATGTGGGAAATTTTCTGTTGTCCTAGTCACTTGGTAGACCATTTTTTAAAAAGGCAAAAGTAAGATTAAGCCTGTTTGTGTAAGCAATGTGGAAAAACCTTTATATTGTCCATTTCTCTCCTAATACTTATAAAAACTGACTTTGGAAAGGAACCCTTTGTGTGTATGCATGTAAGAAAGCCTAGAGTTCTCACACTTCATTTCTCAGCCATAGAAGAATTCACAGTTGAGAGTAATCCTACATATAGACTGAGAAGCCTTCACTATCAGACCTTTCTAGCACTCATGAGACTGTGGAAGAGGACTGGTATTAGTGTAAAGTATGGGGAAATGCCTCTAGTTATTTTGCTTGCCTCACAGGTATAACACAGTATGACAAAAACCTTGAGTAGAAGAAATGTGCAAAGGTCACTTTGATATATATGTGAATGCACAATGGATCAAAGTCCCATGAAGATTCTGGGTCTTGCTCTGTAGTGCAGGCTGGCCTTGAACTCACTATTTATCCTGTTCTGGCCTCAAACTCACACAGTGGTCCTCCTGCCTCAGCCTTCTGAGTGCTGGGATTACAGGTGTGTTCCACCATGCCAGCCTTGTGCTCACTCTTAAAGTAAATCTCTGGTCTTTGTGTACCTAATTAGTATTTTTCTAAATAGGCATTAGGCTGAACAATGTGGTCCCTATTTATAGTCCTACTACTAGGGAATCTGAGACAGAAGATCAGGTAATGCCTGGAGTTAGATACCCAATTCCAACTTGTTTTTAAACAACAGCAAAATAACTAAATGCATTAAGATGACTTAATTCTGTAAATTGTGTGGAAAAAATAGTAAAGAAGTTTAGTGTTTTTAAGTCAGATAAAGTGGCCCCCTGAAATTCCAAGGGGTTATATTCATAGAGCACCTGCAAATTGTGAAAAATGCAAATTTCAGATATGGTCAGAAGAATGCATATAAATGCCTATTTTATAGCTTAAGCCCTAAATATGCTGTGTCTGCTGCAGTTATGTAATATAATTTAATAAACTACTGTATTAATAAAGCCTTAGAAGGTGCAGGGTGATTGGCAGCAACTTACGGCTCTTAGGGCTTTAAGAAGAACAAAACTGAGAACATTCGAGATAGCTACACATAGCAATGTCTTATGATGGGGGAATGTTTGTGCATCTGCTAGAGATGGGTTACAGGGCAGCAGCCAATCAGTAGCGAGGAGAACTGAATAAGGTTTTCATATTGGTTACTTGTAAACCTGCCAAAAAAAAACAACTGTGGAGGATATTTGTGGTTTCTGTGAACAATTATTAGGTTCTAAGGAAAAATTTGCAAATGACTGAGACTGTAAACTCTGAATTGCAAGTTCGTGGAGGTATATTGTGATAAGTTTTTTCCCCTGTTATTTAGAACTTATGCATCCATGAGTGAATTGAAACCATTTTAATGTCAGTTGGCTTAAATTTTGTTTTTACTGAAATGTGTTTAATGGAACATTGAAAATAAAGTTTTACTAATTTTTCATATTTTCTTGCTGGCTGTAGCTGAATCTTGCTGACAGATTCTTACCTTTCATACACAGTGATCCATCACCTATCAGGTTAGTTACATTCCAGAGACCCCCACAATAGGTGAAAATCCACGAAGTAGCAGCACTATATTTATTATTTATATATATTTTAAGGCTTTACAAACCCTTCCCATAGTCCTATAAACCTTTCCCACTCTCTTATAAACACTTCATATGCTCTTAAACACTTTCTACACTTTTAAACCTATGTAATTTTAACAACATGTAAAATTCTGTATGGGTACTTGATGTGGACAAGGAGAGATGCTGAACATATGGGCACAGTGTGGGCAAGCAAACAAGCCAATAATATGGTCACTGAGCCAATCAGCATGGAGGATACAGAACACAGTGCTGTAGTTGGTCAATAGCCATTCCATCAGCCAATAGTGTGCCATGTGCAATCTCACATTGGCAAACTTGATTACATACACACAGTATTTGTCCACTGATGAAATACATACTGTATTTTATTTTGATGTAATAGTCTTTTAATATGTTGAATTAACATATTTATATTTTATTATATTGTTTTAAATTTTTAGGCAAAAAATTAAAATCATAAATATTGTATAAATACCTATAAACTACAAAGTCCCAGGGCTGGGGATTTAGCTCAGCGGCAAAGCGCCTGCCTGGCAAGCGCAAGGTCATGAGTTCAGTTCCCGGTACCGGAGAAAAACCAAACCAAAAAAGAAAAAAAAAAAAAACTACAAAGTCCCACGATATAGCGAAAATTCCATGATACAGCTGTCTATTGCATCATTCTCTTTTTTTGGCATCATTCTTTTGTTGGACCAAATGATAGTTTATATAACTTTTATGTATATTTTCTTGTCTCTGTAAATGTTTTCTAGAAAGTTCTTTAACTGTTTAAATTACCTTTGAGATTAACAACTGTTTTTTCATTTACTGAGAATGTAGCTCTATATATCCCATTAGAAAATAGATTTATTCAATTTATAACCTTGCTGAATGCTTTCTCTTTAATGGCAAGAATCATTGGTGTGTTCCCCAACCCCCCTACATCCTTGTGGGAGCTGAGCTCAATCTGGGACAGCTTCAGCAACCAGGGTGATTGCACCCTCACCCTTCCCCCACCAGAATGGAAACAAAGCTGGGTCTTGATCAGCATCTGGAGCCTCGAACATAACCCATGCCTCCTCAACCCTTGTGAAAGCTGGGCTGAACCCCAGGCAGCTTCAGGAACTTCAGTGAGCAGCCCCTGCCCCCTCCAACCAGCATGTGAGCCAGGTGGAGACCCGACAATTTCAGGGGCCTTAGTGGCCACCCCCTGCCTGCCCCACCCTCTGGGGAGCCAAGCTTAATCCCTGACAGCTTCAGCAAATTGGGTTATTACACCCACACCCCTCTCCCACCGGAGCAGAAATGAGGCTGGGTCCTGGACAGTATTTGGAGCCTCTAAAATGGCATGGCCCCCCTACACCCTTGCAAAAGCCAGGCTGAACCACAGACAGCATCAGGAACCTTGGTGAGCCACCCGCACCCTTCCCCCAGCAGTGTGCAAGCAAGGCAGAGCCCCAGACAGCTTCAGGGGCCTCAGGGCCACTCCCCACCCATCCACCCCCCAGCACCCTTGCAGGAGCCAAGCTGAACTCTGGACAGCTCCAGCAGCCTAGATAACTGTGCAATCACCCCTCCCCAACCAACATGGGAACCAAGTTGGGTCCCAGACAGCTTTGAGAGCTTTGGTGACCACAACCTGCCCACCCCTGCACCCTCGTGGAAGCTGGGCTGAACCTCCTCCACAGGCATGGGAGCCAGCTGAACCTGGGAAAACTTTGGGATCTTTGGCAGCTGCTCCCAGTCCCTGCACACCATCATGGGAGCCACAATGAGCACTGGGGACTTTCATATCCTTGACCCACCTATTCCCACACCATCGTGGAAGTGACACTGGGCTCCAGGGAACCTCCAGATCTTCAAAAATAACAAAACAAAAGGAAAAAATGCAATCTCAGACCTCTACCCCACCCAAAACATGCCTAGGGGACATCAACACAGAACTTGGAAGTCATACACCTGGAATTTCTGAAATGATAGCAACTGAAGTAAAGAAACAACTCTTTCAGGTCATAGAAGATATCAGATCAGAAATAATATCTCAGATAAAAAAAGAAATGATAACAATGATGAAAGAACTGCTCAGCAATCCAAAGAAGACATTGATAAGAAAATACAGGAGCATAGAAAACTCATACAAACCTTGAATTAACAATATAGGCAAGAACTAGAATGCACAAAACAAATTCAAACACATATCCAGGAAATTAAAAATTCCATCAAAAGTCAGGAAATAACAATTCAACAGCTGCAAGACAAAGCAAAGAGAAACAATGTAACATTAATAGATGTCAATGAAACAGCAGGAGTAAGCACAAATGACATAAAAAGACTATTTGTGGAAGTCAGAGCAGAAAATATCCCAAGCATAGAAAAAGAAGTGGACATACACTTAAGTGAGGCATATAGAACTCCAATTAGCGATAACCA